GGGGGGGAGGGAGAGGGGAAAAAGAGAGAGGTCAGGCAAAAGGGAGGAGTTCCAAAGGCCCTCTTGCGAAGACGGCGAGCAAGAAAAAGGGGTAGGTGGCAACATAAGGAAGGAAGGTTGCTGGCAGTGGAGAAGGAACAGAGAAGGTAGGTCGACACGGGACATTCACAAGTGGACAACAGGCACCCCACTTTTCACCCCCTAGGACCTTCTCTACAGACTTTGTGAAGACTGATATAGTGAAACCACCTCACAGGGAACTGAGGGAAGGCAACTGACTTTGAAGTTTGACGAGGTTGCGGGAGGAAAGGTTACGTTCGGCACTCACGTATTGCTGAAAGGAAGTGCTGACGACGGCAATGCAAGCAGCGAGGAACCCCTTGGCATTCACAGTGATGTCGGAGACTGTGCAGATGCCGACACCGAGAAGGACGAGGACTATGCTAAGCTTCGTGCTCCGTGAGTATCGCACTTTGTCAAAGGCCATCTCCAACAGGCACGTCACAGGTATCATTGCCAGTTTGGCTATCTACAAGAAAAAAAGTGCAATTAGTCCGAGCTTCAACATCGAGCGGAAAAAAAAACATGGTTGCACAGAGAAACACAGGGGTGAAAAAGGGGGAAAAAAAAAAAACAAAAAAAACAAAACAAAAAAAAAAACAAACAAACAAACAGAAAGCACAGATGTAATGCAAAGCACAGATGTAATGCATTTTGAGAGCTCAAAAAGCAGTCAGTCGTGAATTATGCCCAAAAAACAGGGAAAGGGAGAAACGTCTGAAAAACAATATTAAAAAAAAAAAAAAAAAAACTTGAACACCTATGGAAATTGGAAAATCTCTTTGTGCCCTCCTTGCCTACCGACCCTGTGAAGTGAAGAAACCCTTGTACCCTTCCATACACCCCCAAAACTAATTGTGCCAACCCCAATGGAAATTGGAAAATCTCTTTGTGCCCTCCTTGCCTACCGACCCTGTGAAATGAAGAAACCCTTGTACCCTTCCATACACCCCCAAAACTAATTGTGCCAACCCCAAAACTAATCGTGCAAACCCTTGTACCCTTCCTTACACCCCCAAAAGGGCCAAAACTAACTGTGCCAACCCTGGTACCCTTCCTTACGCCCCCAAAACCAATCATGCCAACCCTTGTACCCTTCCTTACACCCCCAAAACTAATCGTGCCAACCCCTGTCTCTTATACACATCTAGATGTGTATAAGAGACAGCTAGTGGTGCTGGTAAGAGCAGACACCGCTAGCACCTGGGGAGGGCTCCATCTATTGGTGGGGAGCAGCACCTGCTGGAAACCGGGTCCAGCGT